TTTTTAGGAAAAGAAAAAAAAAAACAATTCCTTAAATATCCTTTTTAATCCAAATGTTCCCAAACTTTTGTCTCTCCTTTAAATATTTTCTTCATATTTGCAAATTTCAGACCGCAGGGGGGGAAGCCTGCAGCACGAGTGGCAGTTACATTTGGGGATTAAATACAACTAAATGACTAAACACTGTTGAGCTGTAGATAGACACAGTTTGGCCTTAGCAGTTTTCAGGGGTTGGGGGGGGGGCAGCTATGGAAGATCCGGCTCGATAACTCGTCGTTCTGCTCCGACTACACTATTGTTACATGGAGTGTTTGTAGCTAATGGATCTAAGTTCCAAATGAGGGCAATAAAAATGATGCCCAAAGTGCAACCAGGTCAAACTCTTTGTATCAGTGGCTCTGCAACAAAAAACAACAACAAAACCCAGACAGTCCTTCTTCCACTGCTCCTCATGGAAATACCAGCTTTGTTTGTTGTTGTTTATGTGGTTTTTAACACCAACTGCATTCTAATAGATCCATCAGCATTTGGGATCTATAACCCGACACAAGCTTGTGCAACTCTTGCCTTGTCATTGTACAGTCTTTCAAATATTGCTTTTTAACAAGAAAAAAAAGTGTACAAGGTAAAAAAACAAAACCCTGTACATCTAAATAATATTGTGGCTATGAGCAGCAAGTTACATCTTCGGAAAGAAATACACAATCTCCCTTCTGATTTCAGTTTTTTTTTTAGCCGACTGAAACGGCCCCGGCCAGCAAGACAAAGGGGCGCCGCTGGGAACCGTTTCCAACTCCAATTTTCAAACGCGACTATTAACCAGATTCAGCTCAGCATTAATCACCTCGGGGAGACCGTGTCACATCTTTCTCAGCTGTTGAGGAGGACACGGGACCGGTCGGACAGCTGAATACAAAAAAAAAAAAGAAGAGAGAAGAGCACCTTTCTTCCATAAGTGGTGAAGATGAAACGTTCTGACAGAGTTACAATCAAAACAGGAAGCTCGTCATCGGGAGCTCGACCTGCAAGTATCTGTGAAATATTTCGTCCCCTCTGAGAACAACGAATGTCTGACCTCTGATGAACCCTAGGATGTTCTGACGGTGTTCGTAGTGCAGCATCTCAATCGGTAAATTTGCATCATGAGGTACAAAAATTGGTAAAAATTTGAATTCAACTCTTGCGGCTTCATCGGACCGCCGTGTGGAATTGTGTCCCAGTGATGGATCAATGTGAAAAAAAACAGCAAATTAAACATGTCAAGCTCATCCTTTGACATTTCTTTCCCCCATCGACTGAAAGCTTTTCGTTGTAAAGCAAGATATTTCCCAGGAAATAAGCTGAGACGAGGGAAAACAACTAAAAAATAAAAAAGAATGTCATCTTCATATTTTTTTTGTTTGCCTGCTGAAACAGTAACGATGAGCTGAGCTGTATGGAAGGCAGATTATGTACAGCGAGTTTTATCAAAAAAGAGTCACCTACAGTTCTGAATTACTCAAATGTCCTTTTCATTTATTTAACCTAAAGATATACAGTATATTGTTTTACTCTACAGGAAAGTTACACAAATGATCCCTTTTTAAATACTCGTTAAAGGTGTTTCTTCATTTAGATACTAAATATTTCATTATTTATGTATAGTTTGGTAAAGATGAATACTGTAATTTGATCCTGGGTGGTCTAGTTTCTAGAAGAAGAAGAAGAAGAGCTTTAATGTCCGGTTTTTTCGGTTTTTGTGAGAGAATCCGGCGCCCAGAACCCCCCGGGGCAGGACTGATCCGACAGACAGACGGACGGACAAACATGGCCTCTACTCTACTCTTTGTGTTGTCTAAAGAAGAAGCACACGGGCACAAGAACGGGAATCACCACGAGAAAAAGATACACAGCAACGCCTTAGAGGGACTCAACGGAGGAGGAAGAAGAAGAAGAAGAAGGATCGAACGGAAACAAACAAACAAACAAACAGAAAAACAGATAAAATTAAAAGTTTCTCGATAGAAAAAACAGCAAACATGAAACACACAGGCTGAACTACGTTTTTTTTTTTTCTTTGTTTTTTTTTTTTCTGGATTTTGTTTCCAATAAAATGTCTTATGTTAGAATTATAATCTGTATAATTTACAATATACAATGTTTAAGAAGGCTGAGAAAATACCCCTTACTAATAATACTGATGTTTGATACAGAGCGTGTGATGTTAGAGATCGACTACACTTAAACCGCTGCACTCCTCCACGTGTGACAAGTTGCCATTTTATATTAGATTACGCTGTCGCCTAGAGTACACATTTTGGCATTCTTATTCGGCTTTAGAAAGTACAGAAATAAAAGATTACTAAAAAAAAAAGAAGAACCAAAACAGAACCTTGACTGTCTACCTGTTAAAGCTGTGATCGCTCCACACCAAATGGTTCGACAGCTTCCCGTCAGCTCGGCTTTTTCCTGCTTCTAGAGAAACCGTTTTGAATTTTAACAAGCGCCGACAGCTAACGAACGACTCCAAAATCGCTGTCAAATAAAAAACGCCCGTCATTTTAAAGTCTGTTAATTAGAGTCACATTTTGAGGCCTCACCTGTTGACAAGCTAAACAGGAAGGTAACAAGATCAGAGGCACCTGCAGCTAAGCCTCTTTCTAAGAATTCATCTGAGTAGTTTAGATGCTATATGGAATACTGAAGCATCACGAGGCCCAACGTTCCCTTTAAAACAACAGGAAAGCGGCTAGCGAGCTAACAAGAAGTCTGGTTTGGTTGATGTTTTCCCCTCAGCTCCTACAGTCATCAGGTTGTTCCCCGCTTTGGGTCACGTGGCCGAAACTATTTGACACCTTCGGGTGCAAATGAGCAAAAAAAAATGTTGGTTTCAAACAAAGAAGTGTTTTTTTTTTCCTTCTTACATGAGATTAAATGCGACCATTAAAAGAATTTGGTCACAAGAAAGGTGCAAAACCTCAGAATATGTGAGACTGGATGTGTTTTTTTTTAAAATTATTAGCTGCTTCTTCTTGAACCCTTTTATGTGAAATCAGCAGTAACATCTAGTCGCCACATTTTTCTGCCTAAATGTCACTAACGAAAGGAAATGTCGACGGTTATCTAATAGCTTATGGCAAGTTACACAGAGAGAAAGAGAAGCTACAAATTCTCCTCCAAATCCTCGTCCTCTCTCTCCCCAAATTTAAGACTGGCACGTCATGTTAATATTGCAGACTTAGTCCATATGCACAAACCCCTCCTTTTAAAAACCACTATTGCTCAGAGTTTCTAAGATAAACGCTGATTTGTTAATACATTATTACTCGTTATATTTATATATATATATGATAATTGCTGAAAGTGGTCAAGCTGATAGAAAAAAGGAAAGACATATTGATTGATTCAGTTTTAAGAAGACAATAGTAATAACAAAAACAAAGCCATGTTATATGTCATATACAGGATGACAGTTATTTACAACCCTAATATTGGTATCGTCGCTAAGATTATTTTCAAGGTAGAAATTAAGAAAAAAAACAAAACAAAAAAAAAATCGAGGAGTTTCAAAGCAACAACAGTTGTTCTTCAGTCAGTTTTGTCAGCACACCTTTCCCTCTGGTTTCTATTGCGTTTGAGTGACTGAAGCTCCGCCCCCTCTCTCTCTGCACTCCCTGAATGGATCACAAAAATATCTCTGTGCTGACGCAAGAGACGAGCTGGAAGTTGTGAACACAACGGGGCGAGGAGGGGAGCACTGAGGTGACACTTTGTAGTTTTTGGAGTGTGGGTAATGAGCATGGGCTGGACTATTCTTAATGGCACATTGACAGACTGAAATCTCTACTGACTGGTAGGTGGAGAGCTGCAAACCCGGGCCGCTAAGCAGCTAAAAATGCTTCAAACAGACGTCCAAGCACGAGAGGGGTGTTTGACTGAACGTATATTATCACAGAGAATGTGAACGCACATCGTCTGTCTGTTAGCCAAGCAAGGAATCCGTTCTTGACGATATAGATCAACTTTTACTTCGATATAAGCAAATAAAAAGTCTACTGTCAATCAGCCACACCTCCAGTGGTTAGCATATCTGAAGCCATTTTTAGCTTCATCCAGTGTAGAAACACCGATGGTAATACTGACAGGTTTGGGAGGCCAGGATCACCGGTCCTCAGCAAATACAACAAATAGTAACGTTGTAGTTGAAGTGGGGGAGTCGTGGGAAACCAGGAACTGAATTTAGGGAGAACCAGAAAGTGTCAGTTGTTTCCAATCCTGGTCCTTTGAAACTCTGAGCCCTGCTGGTTTTCATAATTACCAGAAACCTTTGAAATAACTGTTAGAACAGAGAACCAGCCGGTACTCTCGAGGCCCAGGACTGAAAGCCACTGGTAGATCAATCCAGAAACAGTTTTTTTTGGGTTATGACAGTAAAAGTTTGCTGGCATCCTCTGAATGGATGATTCCATTCTTTGGCAGGGCAAATCTCCTCTTCTTTGTCTTTCTGTCCATCCATCCAAGTTTCATTGTACATGTACTTTGACAACAAATGTCATTAATACTTCCTCAGTGTTCGTTTATTTTTTTTTTTCCACTCGTTTTCTTCGTGAACACTTTAAAAAACTCTGTTGGGGGAAACGGGGAGGGGGGGGGGAAGGAGACACGAGTGCAGTCTTACAGTCTCTCAGAGCTAAAATGAAGAGTTTTCAGTTTCTTTTAAATGTGTCCTCATTGAAGCGTTTGTCATTAATAACATCTTAGTCGTTATTAAATGCATAAGTGTTTTGCCATCGTCAGTGTTTGGATCGACTGCGGTCACTGGTAATTAACTGCTGTTGAGTAATTGGTAGGAAACGTCTTCCCTCGGTAACGTGGGGGGGCGACGTCAGTCTGGCCACACCTCCCCCAAAACTGATGATCAAGTGAGCGCCTTTTTGTCGAAGACTGGTGGTGGTTTAGGGTTCAGGTAGGAGGTCTAGATAGCTTCTTTATTCATAGGGGCGTGTGTCAGCAGATGGACGTATTTCAGTGTATGTGCGCAAGTGTGTGTGTGTGTGTGTGTGTGTGTGTGTGTGTGTAGGGGTGTGTGCGTGTAAAAGAGCAAGAGGTCATTCAAAGTTGTTCAGTTGCAGCTCAAAGTGGTTGAGACGGGCGTCTCGCTGTCCTTTCATCCTTCACCCTGTCCTCAGACCTTGGCTTCCAGCAGCTCCAAGAAGAGTTTGTGCATTGGGACTTTGCCATCCTGCTTGATGCTGTAGAAGTGCTGCACGGCCTTGGTGGAGGTCTGGCGGAGCAGGGGGAGGGTCATGAGCAGCTTGCCCGCCCGGCGGGGGTCCTCCTGGTGCTGGGAAGCCTCGTAGTCCTGCAGGGCCTCGTGGAGCACGTCCTGGAGCTTCTGCACTGCATCCACATCTTCAATGTGCATGGAGTCTGGAGGAGGACGGAAGAAAACATGTGATGAACATTGCAAAAGAAAAGAGTATTGCTCACAGGTGAAATTTAAATTACACTAAATTTCATAAACAACCTGGAAAGGAAAATATTTAATTATGGTTTGTGATGCTGAAATAAATTTGTGCTCATGAAAAGGTTGTTGAGCCTCCTGGCGTGCAGCAGACCTGAACAGTTTTGCAGTGCAGAAAGCTGCTGTGACTGTGTGAGATGGTGTTTTTAACAGTATGTGTCTTTGTCAGTCCCTGTGCCCCCTCTGTCTGCTCTGCTATCGACTCAGTGCACCAGAAGGGAGGCGTTGTAAAAATGTAATCTGAAATCCAAACAGAAACAATGCAGCGACGCTCCTGTGAACCACAACTTTGGGCTGGAAATTCTATAAATGTAAATTCTAATGACATAATAATTTGTAAGCCTGCAGTAAAAGTGCAGGATACTTACATTCTTGTATTCTTACATACATTTTGCACTAATGTACCTTTTTCTACTAGATGTGTAAATTCTTGTATATATTTGTCTTATTATCTTGTTTTATTTTTTTAATATTTATTGTATCTTATTCTTTTCTTTCTTTAGTTATTTTACTTTATTTTACTTTATTTTTTAATTTTCCTATTTCTATTATTCATGCAAATTCCTAGGGCGACACCAACAGTCGAAGCCAAATTCCTTGTATGTTGTGTACGTACTTGGCCATTAAAGCTGATTCTGATTCTGATTCTGATTCTGATTCTCTTTTGAACATAGATAACAGAAAAACGTTGGTGTGTTTTACAAAAAGCTTGTTTTAGGAGCATTAACAGTCCAATTAAAAACATACTTTTACTCCTCAGTTTAAAACAACACTCTGAAACAAACATTTTGACTCCAGGAGTGGAGCTTCACACACAGAGGCCGCTCCTTACTCCTTCTTTAAAGTGTGGATCTGTGGGCGTGATGAATGGACAGACCAAGAGACGAGTGGGTGGAGAGAAAGAGATAGACTTGTAGAATGATGAACCACTGAGAGTTTGTGTGTGTGTGTGTGTGTGTGTGTGTGTGTGTGTGTGTGTGCATAAAGACACGGCTGCACACATCTGTAATCTCTCTCTGAGCTGGCATGTAGGTGTGTTCAGGCATATGTGGCAGTAAAAGGCTGAGAATGTCCCTCAATAATAATGCTCCATATTGCTCCTTAGGGAGGCAAAGTCTTAATGCGAGCTGGCCTTTAGCTCCCAACCTTCGATCAATGTCTCCGATCAATGACTACATGCATGTTAAATAATAATCACAAGACAACTATTGATAGCGCCCCCCTCCACACACACACACACACACGCACACACACACACACAACAGATCTGCCGAGGTGATGGGACCAATGAGTGCAAGTGAAATGCCAACTATTTCATACGTAGGCACACAAAGGACAACAACAGAATCTGATGTGTGATCTCATAATAACTAACTTAACATAATAACTAAGTTTTGTTTTCATCTTTCATCATCTTCATATATTGCCAAGCCACTTCACTTTTTACTACCAACTCCAAACCTTTCAAAACAGTCGGTAGCAACGTCTAAAACATTGCAGGTGTGTAAATATTAAGCAGTACAAATTCTTTCACGTGGCGGTTTTATGAAAAGTGGTGATGTGTATGTGTTTGTTGCCTCTTTTTAGTGGATTCAACTAAAAGCTTTTGTATACCATCCCACTTAGTTGAGTGTTACTGAAGCCCGCCAAAGAAAATTCTACAACTGAACCAAATGGTGTACTTTTTACACACATGCTCATACTGTCCACATGGAACTTGGACGCTGACCGCATCAACAAACAAACAAATACATTTATACTTAAATATAAACCGTGCCAGCAGAGTCACATACAGACAGATGTGCGCGCTAACACAATCAAACACACAGAGTTGGATCTATCGAGTGTAATGCATGTATCAGTATGCAGGACCAGAGCGGGCGGTGGGTTGGGTTCTACGGGGATCAATAGAAAACTTAGCTTCCATTGGCTCTCATATTTCCTATTTGTGGTCCACTGTTCTTCATTTCTTTCATATATTGCTATTTGATGATATTTTGCTTTAATGGAGAGCAGTAATGATGCCGGGGGAGGGGGGGTGGAAGTCTATTAATTAAGGTTAATGAGCTGAATTTAGGTTCACATTTTTCTTTGTACAGAGAAAACACGCGGTATGCTGCACATAAAATATAAACAACTGTTGTGTGGATGCTGGGAAAACAATTTGAGGCCAAATATGTAACCGCTTTTTGTACAGTATCTCTTTTTATTTTGCTATAAAGTGACAAAGAAAGAAGGTACATGTACAAAATGAACGAGTCCTAACGTCACTCGCGATGACAAAACAGCTGCTCTTTATTTTTGAGTTGTAATAAGTGCTTTCCTGCAGTGAACAGGCTGAAGTTAAACCCAAGTTTAATGAGTTTCACATTGTTTTCAATTAGTATTGTGTGTTTAGTATTTAAGCTGGTGGACATGGCTTCTGCCTGTGCTGTGACCCGCAGTACACTCACAAGTAAAACAGCAGTCGTTAATGAGCACAAGCACATCGGGCTGTTAAAACGCACATGTTAACATGGAACTCACAATTCACGGACGCACATAAATGAATGCACACACACAAGCGCACACACACACACACACACACACACACACACACACGCGTGCCTCCTGTTTCCCATGGCTAGTTTGGCTTTCTTTACATGTGGGGCACGTTTGCTAACATTTCTTAAGGCTGGGCTTCATTAATGCAGACGATTAGCATCCTGTGAATTAATTAGTGTCAGTGCCCTTCAAAATGCTAATGCTAGCATTCTGTTGTCTTGAAGAGCAGTTAGACTCTGGGCAATGATACAAAGTTCTTATTTGGGCGTCAGCTGTTTAGATTTAAGTCAGTTAAAAGAATGCCTTTTTGAAACGGGAATTTTCTTAACGGTGATGTAAGCTTTCGACAGAATACACAATAAAACCCGTATTCTAACTGGACGTCGACGCCGTCCGTTCGTCAGTCAGCCACACGTCCACCAGCTCTTTGGTGTGTAGCGTGAAATTGACATTTTTCTGTGGAGTTATTTTGACATTCCTGAAATGGTATAACAAGAACAAATGTACTGATAACAAATACAACAAAAAACTAATGTGCAGAGTGACCTTTTTTTTTTTTTTTTAAACCAGGTAGAATTGTTTATTTCTTTCTGTCCATTTCCTTTATGTAAATAAAGGAGGACAAAGAACTGGAAATACAGTTCAATACGATGTAGTCTAATACATGTGCAAGGTGTGTGTGTTTGAAGGGAAATTATCTATTCATATGTAACGTTTTCTGTGTATATGAAAACCAAGCATCTCCTCCTTTCGCTTCCAATATTTACTTGCAAGAACTGTATTATCTATTACTTGTATGTAGAATTAAGTAAATTAAACAACTTCAGATTGTAGTTATCCGACTAAAGATTTCAAGACACCTCCATAGACTACAGATTTTTTCATACTATTTTATTACATCTTAACTACCAAACCATTAATAAACAAATTTGTCACCTAATTTGCAGATTTATCAACAATAAAAAAACAAAAAAAACAAGCAGTTGCAGATCAAGTTAGATGGTTAAATCTCTAACTTGCTGACAACATAAACTTTTAATTCAAGCATCATAAAGTTAACATTTCCTGCCGGACAGTTCAGATCAAATCTGTATACTTTGCCTTTCAATTCGCTTGTGTTTGTAATTTTGAGAATGTTCCAATTTAATGAGCGCAGAGAATTCACTATTTTGTGACTATCATCATCATTTTGTCCTTTAAACATCATGGCATATTGCTGTTACTCAGTTTTCTCACAAGTTGGGTCATGTTTCCCAGATAACTCATCATCATCATCACCATCATCAACACTGTTGTCCATAACCAGAGGATTTTCTTAACTTTAACTAAGCAGCGCTCACAGACCAACAGACATACCTACAAACACGGACACACACATTCACACACAGACAGGCAGAAGCAAGAGATTGATTGTCACACAAAGCCCACAGGAAAACAACACATCAATATTTTCTGCATGTGCATAACAGTATGTACTCCATGTGTGCGGGCAAACATTTTTCCACGGTTCACATTTAGGTACACGCTGAAGTTCTGCTTGCCTGTGTGCTTATGTATGTGAGAGAGACAAGAAATGGCATATTTGACGAGAAACTGTGTGCATGTGTGCGAATGCGTTGGATAAATGTGTGTGTTTGTGCGTGGACGGTGGCAGAACCAGAACAAAAGGCCCCTCCCTCCCTATTCAAAGCTCTCCCATTGCATTCTCCCATTTAAACACATTGTATTGACAGCTCCCCCCTTGTAATTAAAGAGTACTGAAGAGCTGGCCGGCTTCCAAGACAAAGTTCAAAAGATGGGTCATGGGAGGAAGAAGGCGTGTGTGCGTGAGAGAGTGCGCGTGTGTGCGCGTGTGTCAGTCAGCTGTCGATGCAGCTGGACACATCAGAGAGGGGCCTTTATCGACAGATTTTGGGTTCTAATGATTTCACCTTATTTAACAGGCATCTGAAGAGACGACTATGCTAATTGTAAAAGGGATGGCCGCTGTGTTTGGGGGTGGGCTCGAGGTTGCACATGTGTGTTTGTGCTGTGTGAGTATGCATGCGTAGAATGTTTGTCGTGTTACAAGTGTGACCGCTAGAGTATGACAAGACAACTCTGTGTAGCTTTAAAAGGGAAAGTGTTAGGCTTGACAACTGCATGTGTTAGTAAAGGAAAAAAACCACAAAACACATCTGCCTGTGTGTAAGTATGCGTCATGTGTCGCAGTTGTGTGTGTTTGGATGCAGAGTACTGAAATCAGTCCTCTGATGGTTCAGCTTAAATGAGCCCCGGGGGACTGGAGATTCCTCGGATTAACTCCCTTCCACCAGTCAAACACAAATGTGCAGACAGACAAAAATATCAGCTGAGAGTGAAGAATTTCAAACCTGAGTTAGCCAAAGCAATGGCTTTGAGAGTGACGAATTCCTCCTTCTCGAGCTTCATAGCTTTGTATTTCTTGACCAGCTGAAGGATGGCGTTGTTTAGGTCCAGAAGTCCAGCGAGCTTCGACTGGTCCTCGTCCATTATGTAGTCCTCAGCATACACCAGCTAATTAGAAGCACAGAGAGGCTGTGAATAAAATGTGTGTTTATGTATCTCAGGAGGGCAACAAACAAACGCAGAAGCAACACTTACCTTGTCTTCAAAAGACAGTGAGCGGTATACAACACGCAGAATCAAGATCTCCATCCACGCACTCTGCAGTAGACTCATCTGGTCTGCCAAAGACAGCGTGGAGAAACCTGGAGAACAGAGAAGGCAGAAGAAAAGCAAGAGAAGGATTGTTAATAAAAATGGTTTAACTTAATTCACAGCAATGTGTTCAGATGTCTTTTTCAATTTTTTTGCACTTGAAAAAAAAATCAAACACAATATCCTCTTTGCAGCAGGAACAATTCATACTGGTTGTATTTTGTGAAACGTGTTTAATGTATTTTCATTTTTGCTGATATCGTTTCTAATAAACACCCGTGCTTGTAAAGTAAATGGACGGACATTTTGAAAACCAACAAGAAAGAAAGGGAATAAAGAGAAGAGAATCAAGCTGGTTTTGAAGGTAGTGAGAGGGTCAAGATCGACTCCCCGCCATCCCAGCCCTGGCTACTCTTCATCCATCTGTTTGACCAAAGTCCTCCTCCTCCTCCTCCTCCTCTTCCTCCTCTACCTCTCTCCCCTGTGCCCAGGGCTGTTCTCTGGGGAAAGGCAGGCCTTATCTCCCCCTGACACAACCTCCATGGATCAATGCTGGCCATCGCTGCTGCGCCGCTCAAATACACACACTAATTGCTGCTATGGCCTCAAAACTCCTGCTTTCTCCCGTGTCAATCCATGTCTTTCTATTTGCCTACGCTGATCTCTGTCTGTCTTCCCAATCACAATCTATGCCTTTTTGTCTGCCAGTGTCTGTCTATGACTGACCATCTGTGTGTTTAATTTTTTTTCCATCCACCGTGATACATCTCTGTCCTGTCTATTTGAGTATACCTGTTTTAAATGTTTGCCTGCTGCTTTATACTGTTTTTGCCTCTCATTTCATATCTTTGGATTCCGTTCAAACTTAAGCGCACTAGTCCCTCACTTGTTGTCTGTCCCTCCCTGTCTTATTCTTTACTGTCTCTTTAATGGAACACCTGCCCACTCACACCTTTCCTCACAGCTGTCCTCTCCTCACACACCTGTCCATTCACACCTGCCTGTCTGCCTATGTGTGTGTGTGTGTGTGTGTGTTTTTGTGAGTCTTCATAGGGAAGGCAAAGACAGTGGGCCATGCGAGCACACCTGTCAGACCTCGCTGCAGCCCTCCAGTGTGTGTTTGTGTGTGTGTGTGTGTGTGTGTGTGTGCCGGAGAGGAGAGGAGCATCCTGCCAGGAGAAAGCAGGCAGATGAGAAGGAAGATATTTCTTCAACAACATCTGCTGCGATGTGCCTCCTCTTGAGATGCGGCGAGCGAGAGCGGGTGTGTGTTGGCGTGTTTGCGTGCGCGCATGTGCGTTCGGGGTTCTTATCTCACAGTGTGTTGATGGGTAATGGCAGGCGTCTCATTATGTCCAGGTTGCGGGCTATTGTTGTTTGTAATGTGCTCTAATTCATTCTATCTACAACATCTCCGACACACAAAGATAGACACCGCGGCGCGCACACGCAGATACAATATCACATATGCATAGACATAAATGCATAGGAACACACTGGAATGAATCCAAATGTGTATGATTGATACACACACACACACACACACACACACACACACACATGCACACACACACGGCACAGTGAAGGGAGCAGTATCGTTGCCAACTGGCAGTGTCTTCTTCTACTTAATGAAATCATCAGAAGGGATTAGAGGTGAATTTCTTAAGGGGGTCTTCGCACACATGCACACACAAACACGCACCCACACACACACACACACACACACACATCTCATTCACAGAGACAGATGTCTTCAGGGGGTCCCTAGGACTTCACCACTCATTGTGGGCAGGGGGAAATATGCGCTGGCATTGCTAAAATTAACACACATATACTTATTGAATCTGCTCAACCCTGGGGTCGAGTGAAGAGAAGACGACATGAGCGAGGGGTTAATATCATTTAATGGTGTCACTGGTGGTGTGTTTTAAATTGTCTGTGTGTGTGTGTGTGTGTTTTTCGGCGCTCAGGCATTGGGAGCAGAACTGAGGGTTCAATCAATTCGCTCACATCCCTCTGGTGGAATTTGATCCAGGGCCAATGGGGGCACACATGGCTCAAGAAGTGGACACACACACACACACACACACACACACACACACACACACAGAGCCACATTACTACAAATGCACTTACATACAAGAGAGGATAATCGTAAATGACATCTACAAAGTGTCTGCATGACTTGCTGTATATTATTAATAGGGTTTTCACATATCCCCATCAACAAACACCTCCCTTCTAATTACACATAAAGCGCACACATACATGCACAAACACACACACACAGGAAACACCAATAATTAAAACCCCCGTGATTAATTTATTGAGCTGAAAGTGCAGCTTTTCTTATTGAGGCACATCAATGATTTTTATCAGGATGAGGTCCGTGTGTCTGTGTGTGTGTATAAGTGTGTGTGTGTGTGTGTGTGTGTGTGTGTGTGTATAAGTGTGTGCGAAACAGTTTTGTGAATACGTGTGTGCTTGCATTGTGCATTTTAACTTAATATACACACTTGCACTTTGAGAGCACCGGCTTGTTGTGTCATCAGCATGTTTGCATTCTGTGTGTACGCATACATTCCCATACATGTGTTTCCACGAGCCTCTGCATGTGCGTCTCTACCGGCGTGTTTGTGTGTATGTGTAACTCTCCCTATCCCCTCCCCACCAGCCTGTCTGCGCCGTTCAGCCATCCAATGCCTCTTATCTGTCTGATTAATAGGCGGCCGGCTTCAGGACAAATTAATTAACAGATAACGCCATCTCTCCCTTCTTCCCTTCCTCCCTTCCTCCCCTCCTCTCATGAAGCGATCGATACAGCAGAAGAAAAGAAACATCAATGGGAATTTAGTGCTGATGATGGAGAGAGAGAGGTATTGATGGAGAGAGAGAGTACAAGAGAGAGTGAGACGGAGGAGAGAAGAAAGTGAAAGGGGGAAGAGGTGTTGGAAGAAGAGATGGTGGTGGTGGTGGTGGTGGTGGGAGGGGTGGAGACCTTTCTTTCATACCTGTGATTTCACTTGACAAAAGAAGGTTCCTTATTTGGCTCTAATTACATTTCCTTTCTGCCCATTGTTGATAAGGCATCTCATAGTGTGTGAGGGAGTATGAGTGTGTTTGTGCGGATGCTGTACTGCCTCTGTGTGTGTGTGTGTGCATTGACTTAGCAGCATGTGCAGTAATGTAAAATTCAAATAAAGTTTAAATATTTGCTTGGAAACTTTAAAGCTGAAAAAAAAGATATATGACATAACCTGCAAGTAAAGCCATGGGTACCCCAGACATTATTATTGGATTTTTTTGTTATTTTTGCCTAGTCTTTGGGTTGGATATTAACTTTTGTTGATAGCAAACACAAGTCTGTGCGTAATATTTGGGTTGAAGGGTGTGCATGAGGTCAAATTAATGACACTATTTGGCTACCCACTGTATCCATGTCTGTGCTTGGGGTGTGTCACCTAAAACAGCAGGATGCTCTTGTATCTACGAGGGAGAAAGAAGACGTGACCACAGGTATGCGTGTGTGCATGTGCCATACATTGTCTGACAGAAAGAGGCTACAGTGCAGTCATGCAAACTTAACCTCTGCTGCATGCTCTCGCGCTCTCTTTCTCTTTCCTTTTCCCTTTTTTCTCTATCAGATACACACATAAAAACAAACACACACACACACACAAACACACGTCGATTCCCCAGCCACCCTGCGGCCTGTTTGTCTGCCAAATGAGTCCTGACTGCACGTTTACACCCGAGACCGCACAACAGTCTGGCACACACACATACACACACACAGGATAGCCCTCTCTCACGCCCCAGTTGCTCCACAGATGCACACAAACACACATATCCAGGAGGCCTATATTTGTTTTCGCGTGGTTACAGGGCAAATGGGAACCAGTGAGAAGCGATTGTGATGCTTATGAGTACCTGTGCATGTGCGGCGCTTGTGTGCATTCGTGAATCTATTTGTAAGTGCAGGTCAGACTGTGTGTGCGCTCGTGTGATTGTGGCTATGTACACCTGCAATAACTTATGCATTAAAGAAGGCTATTCTGTGTGTGTGTGTGTGTGTGTGTGTGTGTGTGTGTATGCAGGTGGATTAATGTGACAGGTGTGAAAACTGGTTGTGATGGTGATCTGGTCCCAGTTATTAACACATGACTGGTCCTCACATTCTGTAACTCGGGTTAAATACAGGACATATTTCAGTGATATTTTGAAGTTTCTGTGGAAGTCGTTTTTCGAAGGAGATCAAGAAAAATTGAGGACGATGCAGCAGAGATAATAAAATGTACACATAATGCACATGTGGGTGGGTTTACCGCATCATAATACAGGAGATCCACTCTGAATAGAACCTGCATAATGACACAAAAAATTACACCATTACACAATTTTATTGTTGTTTTGACTTGATTGTGTTTGATAAATTGAGCAGCTAGCTCAAAAACACACGGAGAGTGTGGGAATGTGTGTGTACATGGCTGCATAGCTGCCAACAGAGAAGCAGGTCAACTCAGTGTTACTGGACTACATCTGATTTGAATGAGCCAACTACCAATGTAACCCCAGTGTGAGACTGCCATTTGGAGAGAATAGGCCAGCATCGCAGGGGAAGTCTTTGTGTCATGTGCTTCACTGAATGACACAAATTCTTACTCTGAGAATTTAGGCTGGATGATTGAAATGGCTGGTGATAGCCTGTGAATTTCACTTGTCTCTTCAGTATTGATAAGGTGAGCGGTTAGTGGCAGCGGGGTTTAAAAAACCGACACAAATGCAATATCCTCAGAAAATGCACCTGCAAGAAAATTATAACAGTTTTCCATAAATTGCACTGGCTTTCCTTCTACATCTTCCAAAAAGTTGTCAAAAAATAAAGATTAAACTGTTTTTATTGGTTATGAAATGGCTGCCATTAAAGCTCGTTAAAGCATTCTATCTGATTAAAATACTTGTAACACCTCTCTGCAAGCTTGTAATAGACCTTGTACACTTTGAGCACTCTGTTACCAGTGACACTGCACTCTTCCTGTTTGATCATGAC